GGACCCACAAGAGAAGAAGGTGATGGAGGCAGATCAGAAAAAGCTGCAAATGTTTGAAAGCAAGTGGCAGTGCACAGGGCAAGAGGGAAGCAGGACAGGTGAAATGATGGAGGGGAATGAAGTGAAACGGGGGAGAGCAAGAAAAGGCAAAAAAGGGGGGGAGGTAGTTACAGTGCAATGCTAAACACCCTTCTACATCCATTGAAGTCAATGGGCTTCAGAGGTTACATGTCTGCTTAAAGTGCATTAGTAAACATCCCAGTTCCCTCCACATATGTGCATGCATGCAAACTGACCTGGAGAGGCCAAAATCAGATACTTTGATGGTGCCTTGTCCGTGCACCAAACAGTTGCGAGCAGCCTGTTGACAGAAAAACAGTGAGGCTTTCAGGGGAGCAGCATTACAGACCCACAGGGCAGAGTCGACCCTGCCCTGTCACCACCACCTCCAGGCCCCCGCAAGAGAAAAGAAATTCAGCGACTCAGGGAACTGACTGATTCCTGTCCGCTTCTGCAGTAAATCAACTGCCGTGGTCATGTCCCTTTTAGGAACAGCCATTTTAGGCATCCTTTGCATCTCTTGTCAGGTGGAATACTTGCAGGTGAACTGAATGCCTCCTTCCTGCATTGTGCAGGGGGTTGGACTAGATGACCCTGGAGGTCCCTTCCAACTCTATGATTCTGTGAGCTGAAAAAACTGGATGTCAGCCAGCTGTGGCACCAATGGCAGGTTCTGGGCCAAGCCTTGATATAAACGATCTATGCACCACAAACAGCATTAAAATCTATAAAAACTGCTATATCATAGGCAGTTGTGAATTTTTGGAGGTTCCCTAATCGTATGGTATAGTTATTTTAACATGATCCTTTATGTTAAAAAGCTTGTCCTTTAGTTTCACTTTTAACTTGTCTTGTTGGTTGCCATGTCCCTTCCTGAGCCAATCAGAACTTGAGGCACAACTCCCTCCAAATCCCCTGACACCTAGTTTCCTGTGCATAGTCTTTTTTTTGCAGGGGCGTGGAGAAGCATTCATGCAGGTAAGTTCCCACTTGGAACCCAACACAAGCGTGCCGCCTCATTGAGAACAAGGCCACGACTGTCTCAAGCCATTGTCCCAAAGGCTTTACCAGGTCTCTGTGCAGGAACTGCTTGGATTCCAAGTACTCCATGGCTTCGCAGACGTCCTTGCACATCTCTAGAAATTCAGTGCTCTGGAAAGACCGGCGAGTGTCCCTCAGGTAGGCCAAGAGGCAGCCTAAGGCCAAGTACTCCGTGACGATCATGATGGGTCGTTCCTTGGTGCAGACCCCAAAGAGCTGCACTAGCTTCTCATGGGAGAGGTTCCTGAAGAATACAAATGAGAATTTTATACTATAAAAGGTGATGAAGCTGTAGGCATAAAACACTGGCGCTCCCAAACAGGGGCCTCTGACAGTGGGACCCAAATACCTACCTCTTTGCACAACCCTGGTAGGTTGTCAGAGGGGCAGACTGCTGCCCTGCCCTGGATAGCCCAGGTAAGCCCAATCTCGTGAGATCTCAGAAGATGAGCAGGGTCGACCCTGGCAAGGACTTGGATGGGAGACCTCCTTGGAATACCGGAGGCGGGAGGCGGGGGCAGGCTTTATTCAGCCACCTCTCTGACTATCCTCCAGACCCCCAGTAAGGGTCAGTCACCAGAGGTTGCCATGACTTCCGGGTGCACACACTGTCAGTCATCAGAGGTCGCCATGACTTCTAGGTGCACACACACTCACATGCACACACGTGCACATATGAAAAATACACACACACAAAAAGAAAAGAGATGCAGACTGCTGGCCTGATTTCTGCTGCACTTCAGTGCCACTACTGCGAATGGCCAATGATGGTATTGGTATCAGCCTATGGACCAACAAGGTTCTGCCCCAGCCTGTAGCCACAGGGGGCATTTGGGGGCAATGCCCCCCAGGGACTAGCGCTGCCCCCCAGACAAAAATTCCCCCCAAACCCTGGGAAAATTTGAAAAACATTTATTAAAAATGGTTTTTTTAAAAAATGTAAGATACTGGTGGGTGTTCCAAAATGACTCTATACACAGTGAGAGAAGCTTCAGTCTCCTTTTCTTTTTTCCATGCCAAAAAAACAGGTTTCTAAAAATTCAATAAAATAAAGTAAAATAAAATTGCAAAATAGAGTCGAAGATTCCTCCCCCCCCCCCCAGCTTACACAGAAAAGCAGCCCGGAAACGAGTCTCTCCAACCAAACTAGAGGAGGACTAGAGGTCACAGTGGAGCCGGAGCTGCTTCTGCTGCTGCTGCTGCAAGAGGAGCAGCAGGTACAGCCAGGGTGCCCCTCCTGATTTCCCCATACCCCACCAACCAAATTTTTCTGGATATGCCCTGTCCTCAAAAGCTTCTGACTGTGATTTGGCTCCTCAGTCTGAATGACTTCTTGTCCAGGGCAGAGATAAATTGCTCACGTAACTACCGGAAGCTACACAATTGCTTCCTGTCTGCTTTCTTCTTGGCTCAGCTACCTGCCTGGCTGGTAGGGTGCAGTAAAAAGAAGCTCTCAAGACTAAAGCTTTAGATTCATAGCAAAAGAGAGGCTTTGAAATTCAGGGATGGGCAGGCAAAGCCAGGAGGGACAACAAGAAGACTCCAGACCAAAGTTTGATGTGAACTTGAAGGGACTAAACTTTACCACCCCTGTCTTTCTTCTACTACTTTCTGTAACAGAAGAACTTCATACTACTTCATATCTACATAGTGTTTTAGGGGGTTCAACAAACTTCCCACGGATCATCTTGTTGTAAACCTTATGAAGACCCTGCAAACTGGATCTTCCCCATATTATTTCCCCCACATTTCAGGTGGGCAGGATGACTTACAAAGCATGCAGGTTGCCTAAGGCCACCTAATGAATTCCGGGCAGATGCAAGATTTGAATCAGAGACGTTGTCTTTCTCTTAGCCATTCTGCTACATTAGGTACACTCGTTTTTCCTCAGGTAAGGTTGCTTTCTCCATTCTGGCCCATCTCTACAAGCAAGCACTGATAAAACTTATCTGCCCAGCAAGGGCTGTCTTACTACCTGTTCAGGACTGAATTGAGACCTGGGTTTCCTAGTTTGGTGTAGTGGTTAAGTGTGCAGACTCTAATCTGGGAGTACCAGGTTTGATTCCCCACTCCTCCACTTGCACCTGGCTGGATGACCTTGGGCAAGCCGTAGTTCTGATAAGAGCTGTTCTCAAAAAAGAGCAGTTTCTGTCAAGAGCTCTCTCGGCCCATCTACCTCACAGGGTGTCTGTTGTGGGGAGGGGAAGGGAAAGGAGTTTGTAAGCCGCTCTGAGACACCTTTGGGTAGTGAAGGGCGGGGTATACATCCAAACTCTTCTTCTTCTTCTTGCCAATGCTGATTTCTCCACGCCTACTACCTCTCTGCATATCTCACCTAAAGCCAATCACGCCTGCTGTTGTCATTTGCCTGCTATTGTCATTCGGCATCTGAAATCATTCCACTCTCCAAGACAGAAGGACAGATGGACTCACATTCTAGCTGTATTTGAAGAAGTGAGCAGTGACTCATGAAAGTTCATCCCCTGCCACAGATGTTGTTAGTCTTGAAGGTGCTACTGGACTCTTGCTCTTTTCTACTGCTACAGACAGACTTAACACGGTCGGCTACCCAATCTTGATCTGTCTGTTCAGGGTTAGCAAATATTCTTACTCATCGGATCTTCCTGAGAATTATTTGGAGAGTCTGGTGTGCCATTGTTGGGGTTGCTTGCTCTTGCCATAAGGGACAGACCCCAAAGGGGGGGAAAGAATCAGGGACCACTCACATCATGACTTTGGCCTCGTCGATGAACGCATCCTCTGACATGCAGCCTTCCTTGATCATCTTGATAGCCACATCGTACTGGCCTTTCCACTTCCCGTGCTTCACCACTCCAAACTGCCCTGTTCCCAGCTCCTTCAGGAACGTCAGGTCCTTCGGCTCAATCTCCCAGGCACCTAGAACCGACAAAGGGGTTGGGGGGGTTGGGAGACCACATCAGGGGACAGGGACGGCCATGTGAGTCTTCCCCATTTCCTGTGTCCTGGGGCAAGTGCCAATCCCATGCCCAGCTTCCACTGCAGGGAAGAAAGAGCGGGAGATCTACCCAAAACGAAGGAATCTCTGCTATTACCGTATCCAAGTCCTGCTGTGGAAGGAGCAATTTTTTGTTTGGATGAAACAGGATACTTCAGTCTGGAAATAAGCCCTGTTGTGTACCAAAGCAAACAAAACCGCATTTACAAAACCGCATTTGATACAGAAATCACCCAGTGAGTCAATGCAAAGCTTCTGTCTACAGAGCTCCTTATATACCCCAAGCTAGAAGCATCAATGTCAGATTCAGTGCCAAGATAGCCAAACCTGTGACTAGTTTAAACAATGCACATTGAGAAAATGCACATAATTAACTCTCCGTTTTTATGTACTATATGGTGCAATTTTTACAACTTCACATAATTTATTCAGGTTTTGTTGTTCATGGAGAGGGGTAAAGAGCTACATAGGGCACTGAAGCTCTCCCCCCACCCCCCTGCTGGAAACGATCAACCTCCTGGAGGTTTCTGCAGATTTTGCTCACACACTGAAGTATATTTGCATAGCCGTAAGGGCTAGAAACTTTTCTTTTTAAATGTTAAGGTGAGGTTTCCGGGAAGCAGCACCCAATACCTGATGTGTCCACAAAATTGCAGCATACATACAATCCTGATGTATGTGACCCAATTTATACCTGTTCCAGAACCGAGGGTAATACTTTACCTAGACAGTATCACTCCAAGCTTCAGGAAGGACTCTGTAGATTTCAAAATCACTCCATGAAAATGCTCCATGCATATAGAAAATTGGCATGCCAGAGAGAGGGCTAGGCTGATTTTTGTTCTCCCTGTCATGCTAGATTTCTACATGCAAGGGGAGGGTTGATTTTTGGCAGAGGGAACATTCATGCCTGCCCTCCTTCTCCTGCAGCCTGAAGTGGTGCAGCCCAGGAAAAGCATTACCATTTGAATCTGCTGATATTTTCAAAAACTCCCTGCCACCCTTAAAGGTTTTGGATTCCAGCCATCCTTGCTCTCATTCTGGACAGCAGCCATTCATTCAGCCACACTTTTCACTTTGCCACACCAGTTTCCCATTTGTATTTGAATGGCATGGACTAGGCCCTCTCAAGTCAACCAGAATGTATCCCATCATACTGATTTAAGGAATTCCTGTCCCAACGTATGCTATAAATAATACACAACTGGTTATAGTACCTTCTTGGTCTTTGCCAGCTGCCGGTACCCGCTTCCCCCTCCCTCTTTTCATCACAGCATTCAGCAGTTATCTTTGCCCCGAACCTGTTTTTCCTCACCAGCTGAGTTGTGTTGATGATAGTTGATGAGTTCTGGAATGGTGTCGAAGAGATGCTTCTCTGCCAGAAAGTACTGGTTCTGGGGCGTGGAGCACACGACGTAATGGCGGATCGTCCCCTGGGGTTCCCTGTCCAGTGAATCAAAGACTGGTGATAGAAGAGAGCACTGGGAAGACAAGAGTGCCCAGTGGTATTATGGCAGAACTTCTGCATAAAGACCGGGCACTCCGTGTGCAAGGGGGGGGCAGTGTGAGGAGATGGTCTCAGACCACCTATCTTGGGCAGCTGTCACACCTGAGAAAACTAGGGGTGTCTCGAGATGGCTTTTTGATCTGGGTGGCCGCACTGCATAGTTAGCTTATGGAACTCACTGCCACAGGATGTAGCAGTGGCGACAAGCTTCCAGAAGTCTTTAAAAAGAGTTTAGGGAAGTTAAATAAAGGCAGGACCAGCAGTGATTATTAGCCAATGATGGTTCCTTTGGGGCCTCTACCTTCAGAGGTTTGAATGCCAGTTTTCTGGGGACATCTCTGGGGGAGGCTTTGGACTCTGTGTACCTACTATGGGCATTTGTAGGAAACTGGACTAGATGGACCACTGGTCTGACTCAGCAGGCCTCTTCGTAGGTTCTTATTGGAGGAGGATTCAAAGGAAGGCCAGCTCAGTAGTTTTTGGACAAGGACTGAATCAGGAGTCAGATACCACCACCTGGTCAGTAACTGGGAAAACTGGAATGTTGGCAGAGGTTGAAACTGATAAATGAAGCAGACATTGACCGAATCTGCATATTCATATTGAAGTAGTTTTGCTTTGCTGTGACGCTGTCTTCCTTTGGATCGGTATGAAAGTGGCTTCCAGCCCACACACAAAAAAAGCGGGAGCCGTAAACTGAAGAAGACAGGAAAGGATAATAAGGCTACTGGAAGAAGCCAGAACGGAAGCCACAACAGCTACGTGATTTGCTTTCAAAACTGTTCTGGGGTCCTGAGCTGCTCTGCAGGTTGGCCTTTCCTGAGGACTAGTGGGCTGCAGGGTCTCCCCCATTTCCCCCTCAACAGGCCGCACTTACCCTGCCGACTTGGCAAAAACAGAGACAGTGTATTTTCCTGTCTTGCTCACGGAATCCCGGACAATGAAACCTCCATCTTTGCCCTGGAATGTAAGAGCAGAGGACACCACTAACATTTCACGGGAAGTGGCTTTGTAGGAAAGCAAGACATGAGCTCCAGCTAGATCAGATCGATCCTGCTGCCAGGGTCTGCGCAAGGAATGTGCTTCCAAGCTTCAGTGCTGCATACAAGTCCTTCCTATGACTTTGCCAAAAGTCACTTGGGGTGTCCTGTTTGTATCATCTCTGACAAAATTTTATTGCAATTTTTTATAAAAATTAAAGATTTACCTTTTTAAAAGCTAACAAACCCAATTATCTCCCTAAGCCATTTTGTTGAATTTAGAGAGGGTTGCCCAACTGGCCCTAGAGGAAAATGTCCTGTCCCTTAATGAGTGGAAGTGGGCAGCAGACACTTTTCATGGCATAGAGATAAATAGCACCTTAATGGTAAATAATATAGAACCATAGAGTTCAAAGGGACCTCCAGGGCCATCTAGTCCAACCCCCCTGCGCAGTGCAGGAAATTCACAAATACCTCCCCCTCCACACCCACAGTGACCACTGTTCCATGCCCAGAAAATGACAAAAAAAACCCTCCAGGATCTCTGGCCAAAGTGGCCTGGAGAAAAATTGCTTCCTGACCCCAAAGTGGCAATCAGCATTTCCCTGGGCATGTAAGAAAGGGCCACGAGAACTAAGCACTGAGGCAACCCTTCCTGCCCTCCCTCTCAGGATCCGCCTGAGTTCACAGAATCAGCATGGCTGTCAGATGGCCATCTAGCCTCTGTTTGAAAACCTCCAAAGAAGGAGAAGCTCACCACCTCTGGAGGAAACCTGTTCCACGGAGGAACTGCTCTGTCAGGAAGTTCTTCCTAATGTTTAGGCGAAAATTCTTCTGATTGAATTTCAACCCATTGGTTCTGATCTGACCTTCTGGGGCAACAGAAAACAACTCCATACCATCCGCTATATGACAGCCCTTCAAGCACTTGAAGATGGTTATCATATCACCTCTCAGTTGTTTCCTCTCCAGGCTAAGCATACCCAGCTCCTTCAACCTTTCTTCATATGACTTGGTCTCCAGAACCCTCACCATCTTCGTTGCCCTCTCCTGGACACGTCCCAGCTTGTCTATATCCTTCTTAAATTGTGGTGCCCAAAACTGAACACAATACTCTAGGTGAGGTCTAACCAGCGCAGAGTAAAACAATACCATCTCTTCACATGATCGGGACACTATACTTCTGTTGATACAGCCCAAAATCACATTTGCCTTTTTAGCAACCACATCACACTGCTGACTCATGTTCAGTGTATGGTCTCCTAAGACCCCTAGATCCTTTTCACACATACTACTGCCAAGACAAGTCTCCCCCAACCTATAGTTCACATTTGATTTTTCCTACCTAAATGCAGAACTTTACATTTTATGCCCATTGAAATTCATTTTGTTTTAGCCCAGTTTTCCAGCCTGTCAAGATCATCCTGTATCCTGACTCTGTCTTCTACTGCATTTGCTACCCCTCCCAATTTAGTATCATCTGCAAATTTAATAAGCATTCCCTCTTATGCCATTAAGCCTCTCTTAA